TGATGTCCCTCTCCAAGGACCAGTCCCTCCTTGCAACATGCCTGAAGTATGTCAGACGAAGCTTCAGAATCCTTGACTCCAGGGAACACTCTGGCTTCACCCTCTCCAGGAGAAACCTGTTTGTTCTCCTAGCAGTCCATGGTATATTAGATTCTTAGGAGGTCCCATTAATCTATTTTATCCTCTCCTGGTTGTAGGTGCATCATGTCTTCACATCTGACATGGACCAGGAGCCCCTACTTCTTCCTTTGCCCGGGTGTGAACAGGCCACTGTGTGCTTCTCTGTCATCTGTGGATGGACACATGGGTGGTCCCCATCCTTCTGGGTTTTGAGACAGTGCCGCTAGGAACATTCAGCTCAAGTATCTGTTTAAGAGCCTGTGTTCAGGTCTTTGAGGCATGTGTCCAGGAGTAGAACCGCTGGTCACGTGAAATGTTGTCGGGAGGGGACCTTCCTAGAAAAGGCCATCATGCTTGGAAAGGTGAAGGTCAGTGAAAGAGAGGAAGACCTTCAAGCAGAGCGACTGACATGGTGACTCGAGTCTATCAGAGGCTGGTGCAGGGCAGGGCAGGGTTCCGGTCCGGTGTTGACAGGGCTCCCGTGAGTCACAGTCCACTGGACGGCACCTAATGACAAGGGCCCCTCGAGGGAGCCCTGGTGGCCTTGTCTGTGGGAGTGCTGCTGTCCCCAGGGCCAGTGCCTCCCTGGGCTGAGCCCACCAGGGGCGTGGAGGGAGGAGGAGTCTCCTCCAGGTGGTTTGGAGCCTGGAGACCCTACGGAGCTGGTCCTGCCTGATGTCTAGGAGGAAGTGGCCGCGTTTCTATGCAGTGTCTCCTTCATGTGTCTAAGGAACGCTGGTGGTACCGTGTGTTGAGTGTTGTGTTGCTAAGGGAAAAGTGAGCACTTTCGTTGTAACCCACCAGCTGGCCTTCAGGAAAAGGACACGGCAGTCCGCTCCCGTTACCACTTACAGCTTCACAAACCGATGGACGGTGGCCAGCAGACCCAGGGGACTTGAGGGCAGTGCTGGGCTTGGGTTTGAAGGTGCTGAGTCACTGCTGGTCTGTCTTCCTCCCTGGTCCCCAGATGTCACCTCCAAGATCTTCATTGACTACAAAGTCCTGGAGGTTTTCCCCAAGGGCCGCCAGGTCCTCATCACCTGCCACTCACCCCTCCTGGCCCCACCCAGCACCTACACCCTCCTGGGGACCAGGGGCATCGTGGTGGCCAGGAAGGAGGCGAAGACCAGCGACTGGGTCTCCTTCAGCATCAACATCACACTCAAGTCCAGGCCAGACCTACTGAGCTACTCCTGCCAGGGGGACTCCACATCTGGGTCAAGGGTCACCAGTGACCAGCTGCAGATGTACTGGGAGCTGTGGGCCAGTAAGTGCGGGGCCCCGGGGGGTTCAGGGTGTAGTGGATCCAGTGTCTGCAGATAAGCCAAGACCTCTCTCCTGGGGGTAGATTGCTGGGCTCCTGAGGGCCGGACTGGGACAGGCTGAGGGCAGAGGGTGAGGATGAGGCCAGGGCCACATGGAGTCCCTAAGACCTGGTCCCAGCGGGTTAGGGGCTTGAGAAGAACACGCCAAAGTGCTGGGTTAGGAGGAGAAGTGGCCACAGCCTGGAGCCGGGGTAGGAGCAGGGGTTCATTCAGTGCCCAGCTCAAACTCCTCAACTTGGTGCCACCTTTTTTTTTTATTGTGTTATTTTTATGTGTACCGTCAAATCGGATCTGACTGGTACAGGAGGAGATTGTCCCCTTCCTTCTCCAGCACAGCATCTGGTGGATTTGAACTCGTACCTCTGGGTTTGCAGTCCAGCGTCTTGCCACTAGGCCACCAGAGCTCCCTTTCGGCGCCACCTTTTCTACATTCTCTCACCTGACTTCACCACCTGGGGGCGGTCCACGGAAGTGAAAACAAAAGGAGGTTGTGAAATTTTTCTCACCAAAACCAGTTTCAACTCCCACCCACACTTCCAACCCCTGCTCTCCCTCAAGTCCACCCTGATGGAAACCAGGACCCCCATCCATTCCCGGTCTCCGACCCTGAGTACAGGGAAGAGCCAGCCTAGGGGAGGGCAGCCCAGCAAGTCAAGGAGCCCCGAGTACTGGCTTTGAGGTCTTGGCTGAGTAATCCAGCTTTCTGGGCCTCAGCCATTTCATTTGGAAAATAAAGGCAATGATAGCCTGAAGATAAACTCCCACTTCACCAGAGTAGTACTGCCCTGTGGGGTTCCCACAGCCACACCACCCTCCCTGCAAGTGCGAGGTGAACTTCCAACCACTAGCTTCACAGCCAGATGCTTTAACCATTGTCCCACCAGAGCCTCTTTTTTTTTTTTAAGTTTATTATTTTTTGTGTGTGTACCGTCAAATCGGATCTGACTGGTACAGGAGGAGGAGATTGCCCCTCCTTCTCCAGCAGAGCATCTGGTGGATTTGAACCGCACGCCTCTGGGATTGCAGTGCAGCTTCTTGCCACTAGGCCACCAGAGCTCCCTTCACCAGAACCTCTTACAACAACAATGCCCACTGCTGTTGAGTCGATCCCAATGCCTGCATCTTACTGGATTCCCAGGACTGTCATCTTTGTGGGAGGAAACCGCCTGTCCTTGAACCGTTGACCTTTCACTTAACAGCCTGTCATTTCTGATTCTCAGTGACCCTCAAATGCTGCGTAGAGCTGCCTCATGGTGCTCCCAAGGCTGTAATCTTTTCGGGATCAGACCCCTACATCTTTCTCCCATGGAACAGCTGGTGGGTTTAAACCACTGATCTTTCAGTTAGGTGGCAAGTGATTAAACAGAGCCACCAGGGCCCTGTAGGGCTTACAGGTGGGGAAACCCTGCACTTCACATAGGCTGCCAGGATTTGTCTCCACGCCATGGGGACTCAACAGTATTATGTATGTAGAGAAGCCCAGACTCAGGTGAAGAGAGTTCTGGGAGGGCTGCCTGGAGGAAGCAGCAGTCACAGGTAGCCCTCCAGGGCATTAACTGTTTTGTATTGAGGGGTTCTCAGTTAGGGCATGTGTGAAAAGCTTTCAGTCACATCTGCTAAGCCCTCTCCTGCCTCCCAGAGCCAGTGTCTCAGCCCCAGACCAACTTCACCCTGATGGACAGAGGGTCAGGCCCCACAGTGGAGGTGACCTGCCAAGTGTCCTCGGGCAGCCCTCCCATCACCTACAGCCTCGTGGGGAAGGATGGGCGTGTGTACACACAGCAGAGACCACCTCACGGACAGCCTGCCACCTTTGTGTTCCCGCTGAACAAGACGTCAGCCTGGCTCCAATGTCAGGCAGAAAATGGCGTCAGTGTCCAGTCCAGTGCCTTCCGACTGCTGCCCCCAGGTGAGGGACCCTGGGTTTCCAAGGGCCACTAGCTCTTCTGGGCTGGGAGGTGAGCTATGTCCAGAGGCAGGGTGGTGAGAAGTGGACTGGTCATTCCTTGGAATGATCTGCTCTCTGTTCCGCCTTCAACCCAGCTGCCCCTGCTTCTCCCCAGGAGAGCTGCCCCAGGGCCCCGCCCTCATGCTGGCTGGCAGCCTCACCTCCATCACAGCTGTGGCCTCTGGAATGTTGGGCTGGACCACGTGGGCCAGGTAATGGTGCTAGGTGTGGAGGAGGGGGGAAAGCTGGGGTGCCCATGCAGATGGGGAACAGCCGCCGGAGGGCTGCAGGGCAATACAGGTGCCCACACGACCTGAGGGGATGAAGCGTGCCAGCTGCCCAGGATGCAAGTCCCAGGCCCCCTGTGATGGTCAGCTGACGCTGGCCAGTACTCTGGCTTGAGACCTTTGTGATGTCCTGGGAACCACAACCACATGTCTGTGCCTTCCATGTGGAAACAGGTGGCAGGTGCGAGGGGGGGACCTCCTGCCCAAGGCCATGGGTTCACATGGCCGGTAGAGGTCACAGCCCACTGAGCTGCTGACCAGTGCCTGCCTTTTCTGTGGACACTGTCCAAGACTCTCATGGTAGTATCCTCTCTCAGCTGGGACTTTCCTCCCAGGCAGGTTCCAGCAAGGCCTGACGCCTCAGTCTTGCCTTCTCTAAAAGGGGGCACGGACTGGGCTTGGGCTTGCCTGAGAGCAGCGCTTGCCCCTCAGTGATTCAGCCCCCCTGCATTTGTGGGGTGAGTCAGTCCCCTGCCCTTCCTCCTGCCTCAGGCATAGAGGCATGCAGCTCCATAAACTTGGGGGAGTGGGGTGGCGTGGCTACTTGCCTAACCCAGCTTTCAACATCCTTGTTATCTAGGCTCTCATGAGGCTGAGCCCCTGGGATGGCCTAGCACTGGCCCTAAAGACAGACAGACGGCAGGAAGGGACAAGGGACAGACATGCCTGCCCAGCTGCTCATCACACCCAGCACTGTAGCTCCAGGATGCAGTTACCTCCAGGGCGGGCTCCAAGGGAAGGGGCTGGCTTTGTGCGACTGCACCTCCCCCCACGTCCCATCCATCCAGGGGGGGTCTCGTGGGAAAGGGTGCAGCCGCTGGAACCAGATCTGACCTGGTCACCTTCTCCTCCAATCCCTGCTCCCCTCTTCCTGGAGAGGCACCTCATTTCCTCTGGCTCCACCCACTCACCTTCACAGCTTGGGCGTACTGAGTGACTCTGCACCCCCTCACCCCCTCACCAGCAAAGGCCGTCAAGAATTTTCCCCTCCCTTGCCACCTGTCGATCCTGGGGGAGCTTCGCATTGCAGAACTGTTTTTGGGAAGGAGTCTGGCTTAAGCTTTGCCCAGGCTCGCTTTGAATTCACAACTTTGACTTTAAAACCTGCCTCTGCCGGTGTCCCTGCGAACTTCCTTCCGGTCCTCACACCATCTTGGAACCTGGAACCCCAAAGTCACCAGTTTGCACAGACAGCTCAGGGAAGAATTGGGGGCCAGTTGGGGTGGGGGACTTTGTGCCAGAAGCCCTGTTGGCGCAGCTTCGAACCAAAGAGCCTGTGTCTTGAATGCACCCGCTGCGCCGCGGGAGCAATATGCGGCCATGGGCTTAGGTCAAGATTACGCCCTGGGGACTCCACTGGCAGGTCGGCTCTGTTCTGTAGGATCGCTTTTAAATGGCATCTACAGCGGGTTTGATTACTTTTCTAGGAGGGGTAGGGGGACTCCCAGGACCGCGCTCCGGTCCGAGCCTGTCTTTTCCAAAGGACTGATGCCTCCTAAATACTTCTCTAAAGTATACGAGGCAGAGTTGCACCGTCTTTGCCCCAGTGTCAATGGCCTGAGAGCTCGGGGTTCGAGTCAGAGAGGCAGCCCCGGGGACTTCCTGGAGGAGGAGGCGGAGGGCAGGGCAAAGGGGGTGGGGCCAGGGCCCTCGGGGTTCCCCGGGGTCGAGGACTCTGGCCCTGGGTGGGGCGGGCAGGAGGCCGCGCACCTCCAGGGCTGGGTGGGCCAGGCGGGAGGCCGCGC